CGTCGAAACGCCCGGAGGACGCGTTCAAACGCGCCACGCGCCACGTGGCGTCATTTTTTTTAATGCAACCCACCCATCCGCATGCGCACGTGGCGGACTACGGGTGGGGGGTTTGGTTGGTCAAAAAAAAAAAAAAAAGTGTATATTTTCATGTTCTAGTGGTAGATTCATTCGATTTTGCTCATAAAATAGATGGTTGGTTGATTAATTGATTGATTGATTGGGGTCGCCCCCCCCCCCCTCGAGGCCTTAATGATGGCGGCCTCCCCAGTCTTCCCCTTCCAAGCTGCACCGCGTAGGGAGTAAGTAGTTTGTAGTCTTGTCGAAGTGGCAAATGACATCTGGCTTTGAGGTAGCCCTTGAGGGGAGCGTCAAAATTTATATCAGGAAACAAGTCCCCATATAGGGGCTCGTTCGGCACTCCTCGGGCATGTAAGGGCCCCGAGGAATTGTTCATTCCACCTATCCTCGGGGATGCAGTCGACAAAAAAAAAGTGAAAACACTCTGAAGGAAATTCCTTGGGCTCCAAGGATTCCCCAGCCATTTCTTCCTCTTGCCCAAGGGACCTCACGAGGTCCCTTGGGCAAAAAGAATCCACGTTTCACGGAGAGGAGCGGGCACATGGGTAGAGAGATGTTACAACCGAGAATCTATATTAATGGCGGCACCCTATTGGCTGAAGGCCTCAAACACATTTGATTTTTTTTTTTCTTTTCTTTTTTCTTGTCTGACATCGTTCGAAGGAAATGTCCTCGTCCCCGAGGACAGGTGGAACGATGGCGGGAATTTTCTTGAAAACCCCCAATGAAACTTCCTTCGGCCCCGAGGACGCCCCAAGGAGTGTCGAACGAGCCCCATACTCCCGCAACGGCCAAGTTCCGCCTCGTCTTCTTTTGTAGCAATGACATCACCCTAATTATCTGTCTACTTGACCGCAAAGTTCATCCTCGAGTACTCGCTTCGTCGAAACCCAGCCAAACTCCACCTCTCAGTTGACCTCACTGATTAGGTTGTTAACTACCTACTCTCGGTCTACCTTGGTCGGAGATAGTCCGACATAGTGGGTACTTTCGATGGGAGAGTATGGAGCTCCACCGTTCCCCGTCGGCGATGGCGGGGTGGTACGGCAAGGCAGGGTCTAGGACCGACTCCACCAGACGTCGGCCTGGACTGGCACCGGTTCGGAGCGGCCGGAAAATTAGCGCTACAATAGCGCAGCCGCCCAACACCGGGGCCCCCGGCTCCTCCTTTTTCCTCGATCCTAGATGGACTTCGCATTTGCCTGTGAAAGGTAGTGGCGGTTGAAAAAAAAAGGGGTAACTTCGGCGCAGTCACGAAAACAGTTCGTAATTGCACTTCAGACAATCCCGCGAATACAACACACCCCCACGGGACCCCACCGGACCCGAAACGTAGGTCATATACATTCAGCATTACCGGCCCTTCTGACTCAAGTGCAATTACAAACTCAATCCCTGACTGCGCCGTAGTTTTCTCAAAAAAAAAAGAAAAAAGATCCGTATAGTTAATGCCATCACCTGTTGAAATGGCCACGATGCAATGAGAGAACAATGGAATTTGGCTCTGTGACAACAATGGAATTTGGCTCTGTGACCGTTCCAGCGCTGAACGCACTTTCGCGTTTGAACGCGAGCCTTCAAACGCCCGGAGGACGCAAACGCGCAACGCGCCACGTGCCGCGATTTTTTTTTACGCCACCCACCCATCCGCATGCACGCGTGGCGGACTAAGGGTGGGGGGTTTGGTTAGTCAAAAAAAAAAAAAAAAAAGTGTATATTTCCATGTTCTAGCCGTAGATTCATTCGATTTTGCTCATAAAATAGATGGTTGGTTGATTGATTGATTGATTGATTGA